CCCCCCCCACGCCCCTGCATGCTCGGTGGCTGTCTTGCTCCTTGGGTTGACTTGCAAGCCAATTAACAGATGTCTCTAATGGGTGACTGCAAGACAAGGGGTTTTTTTTCCTTCTAGAAGAGAGGGGTACCTGCTGGGGGCCCCGTCATGCCTGAAGATCCCCCACCCTGGACTTGGAACCCTTTCACACGAGCCCCAGATTTGTCGATTGATTTGACTGCCTTCTTGTTTTCACAGTAGAACGTGTAGTACATTCACATTGTTTGTGTTTGACAATAGGACAGTTTGTTGGCTTGCACTTGCTCTGCAGCTAGGGAAAGGTCCTCTGTACATGCTCAGAAGCAGTCTCAGTTGCCGCTTTGCGCAGAGGACAGGACTGACATTCAGCTCTGGGAAGAACAACGTGCAGAGTTGTGCCAGTTATTCCGAGTGATCCTCGCTTTAGACTTTTGCGTGATAGGCAAGACCCAGACGTGGGCACCCGAGCTCTGTCCTGCTCGCCCGCCCCTCCTTTAAGTCCAGAGAGGGGCGCGAAGAAGCCCACAAATGGCAAATGTTTTTGCCCCCAGCAGAGGCTGCTTTCTGACTCCTGGCGAAAGGCTAGCCAGGGAGGGCGTCTGGCCTCCATCGCGGCCTGGGCGGGGTGCCTCACCTTCCTCTCTGTCTCGCAGGGCAAAAGCCCCCCCGGCACAGGAGCAAACAGCAGCAGCTCCCCCAAGCTGGTTTTTCTGCCAGAGGAGGAGGAGGCGACAGAAGCCGACAATCGGGAAAAGGAGCTGCTGATGGAACGGATCCAGTCGATCAAGGAGGAGAAGTGAGTGTGGCCGGGGGCGGGGCCGTGCGGGCGCATCCAGGGCTGGAGAGTCGCTCCCGAGTGCCGGGGCAGCGTTTGGTGGGAGAAGCTGCCCAGGGTCTTTGCAGCAGGGCTTAATCTGCCAAGGAAGGGGGAGGGGGCTGAGGGTTTCTTTGTGCGCAGGAGGGGGCCCTCTGTGTGTGCTGGTGGGTCTCCAGTCCTGTCTTAGGCCTGCGCTGGAAGCTCTCTTGGTGCGCCTCCAGCACTCCTTCACGGCTGGGGTTTCCTCTGAGGTCACTTAGAGCAGCCCCAGGAGAATAATGGGGAGGAAGCCAAGTCCACCCAGAGGAGTTTCCAGGGCCGGAACGGGGGCAGAGAGAGGCGGCTCAGCAGATGGGGAGGGGGCTGGAGCCCCTGTCCTTCGAGGAGAGACAGAGGGATTGGGGCCTTTCTGTTTAGAAGGGGGGGATTGGAGAGATTGTGCCTGCTGTGGGGAAAATGGGTCAAGAAATACATCCAGTCTCAGGGAAGCATCCGGGGAAACAGGATGGCGGTCGATAGAGGAAGGATTTTCTCCAGGCGGCGCATGATGACCTTAGGGCCACTGGCTTCCGTGGCTTTCAAAGGGTGCCAGACAGATTCCGGAATGGCGAGTTCATCAGTGGCTGCTGGGCATTATGGCGATCGGCGACCCCCTCCGTCTCCCAGTGCCGGTTGTTAGGTCAGGACAGGCTTTGGGTCTGTGCCTGGCTTGTGGGCCTCCTGTGTCACCTGGCCTGCCCCTATGGGGAAGAGGATGCTGGGCCAGGTGGGGCTTCTGATGCTCTTTCTTGGCTAGTCCACTTTGTCTCCTGAAGCTCCTCTAGCTCAGGGCCTGCACCTTCTCTGAACCTGCTGCACTCCGACACCCCAGACGGCTGACTTGGGGAGTGTGTCAGAGAAAGAGTGGCCTTTCCTCAGAGACCACTCTGCACGTCTGCACGGCCCTCCTCGGAGGGCAGGTGAATTCCGTTGCCATCTCTAGCTGGGATCCTGTGGCTCCTCCCCACTAGCATTGGCGCTTTCCCTCTAGCTTGGGGGTCCCCAGTGTGGTGCGCAGGGGTGCCATGATGCCTGTCAGTCCCCTTCCTAAGTGCTTTCAGGAAGTAGGTGGGGCTTTTGCCCAGCGGGGCTTCTGATTGGCCACTGGAGACCCGACTGGTGGTTGTGCAGATGGAAACAAGATTGCCCCAGCAGCGGCTGGCACCACAGCAGGAGGAGGATCTTTACTGTGTGACTGAAGGCAGGCGGCGGCAGCCATTTTGGGGATGGCTCTACTGCCTGTGGCAGCCATTTTGTGACTGCACCTACCACAGTGTGTCAGGATTCCTAAGGTCCCCACAGGCTCAAAAAGGCTTGGGACCCCTGCTGTGGTCAAAGGAGCATTCCCCTTGCATCAGGGGAGGGCAGGGCGGCCAAGAGCCACCATGATGGGTCCCCGAACAAAGATGCTTTCTGCCGCCCCCACGCCCCCGACGCTGATCAAAACTTGCCGCTACCAGGGCTATTTTTGGGCAGGAACGCACAGGAACGGAGTTCCGGCTGGCTTCCAAGTTGGCCATGCCCAGCAGGAACATATTAGCATAATAGGCCACACCCAACAGCAGGAACTCATTAGGATTGGCTACATTAGGGGTGTGTGGCCTAACATGCAAAAATGTTCCTGCTACAAAAAAGCCCTGGGTTTGGACAACAAACAAGGTAAACAGAATAAGAAGCAAAAGGTGGGTGTGGCTGGATGAGCACACTTCTGGTAACATGGGGGCGTGGCCTAATAGGGTAATGAGTTCCTGCTGGTGGGTGTGGCCTATTATGCTAATGAGTTCCTGCTGGGCTTTTTCTACAAAAAAAGCCCTGGCCGCTACCATCTAATAATAATTGTTCA